TATATTATATATTATATTAACCTTTTATAATAACATAGTTAAAAATCCTGCATATTTTCTATATGACTGTATGTATTGTAATACCTTATTAACGAAATTCCCAAAGGATTTATCAGTTAATAGTTTAGTCAATTTATGTTTTAGTCTTTTAAACTTCCGACAGCGCTTAGAACTCGAAAATTCTAAACCCGTTGTTAATCATTTTAGATGTCGTTTGAGTAATTATAAGTCTTGTTTGGGAAGCCGGTCTTTTCAAAGTCTTTTATTCGTGGGATATTTTTCACCTTTCTTACAAAAAGTGGCGAATTTGTCATATGGATAAATGTAAAATGTGGTCTATAAATATTGTGGACCCGTTTACTTAAGACGTGATATCGAAGAAAGAAAATTAAATTTTTTGGTTGAAAATATTTAGAGCAAATTTTGTACGTGTGGTGAGAGGTCGAAACTCACGGTATATTAAAATCAAATGGCTTCCAATTCCAAATTCAAAAATTGTCATTGGACGGTGAGCATTTTGTGATTGGTTCAGAGTGAAACTTGCTTTAAATGGCTTCCAAGTTGAAAATTTCTGATTGGATGGTATACGTGTTCTTTAACATAATTTGATTGGTCATGGTAGAAAGCCCATTTAAAAGTTGCAGCGTTTATATTTTATAGCTTCATATCCGAATGAGATATTCTCGATAAGTGTGCGTAATTGGGTCAGTAAGATTAGAAGCCGTTTCATAGTTGTTTTATATTTATACCTGAATTCATGTCATCTTTTATACCCAACCACGTTGGCACTTGGCGTTGGATCTCAGTCATTTCTTCATTCACGTCACACATCAATTAATCGCCTCTAGAGATTATTTCAATGAACATACCTTTTCAAGTGGTTTCCTTCAATTAGCTAATAAAATATTGGCTTTTGCGTTTGAGTATACACAATTAAGCGTAAAAAAATCGCAAATCTAGATTTATTTTGCACTTAATACTGTCAAAGTAAAACTAAATATATTTTTAAATATCGTAATTTCTTTACAATTTCCCTAAACTTGATCAAATTTCAATTCCTAGGGAAGGTGGAAAGGAACGTTTTTTTATTGTGTGTGTATGGGTGAGGGGGAGGCGGCTGGAGCTTCGGAGGGGGGGGGGGGTCATCAGTAAAAACTTTCTTATCTTTCTGATGATGGCGTTTCTTTGTGAATTAAATCAAAATGTGAGAAACTTGGTTCCAGTCCTTTGCTCGTTTTGTTACCAGCGAATGGAATGAGTCTAGTACTTTGTATTTTAATTACTATTTTTTCACAGGCGAAGTAAAATCACTCTTGTACATGCGCAATTGATGGGTTGCAAGCTTTCCCAAGAGAGTCAAAACACAAAAACATGGCGGCCATTGTGGTGCCTTTAACAATAGATGCTAATGAGAAATCTTTTGTTAAATGGCACCATCATGGCCGCGATGACGTTACGTGCAATCAAAAAACACATTTATTATATGCATCTGTTCACCTTGTTATTTTTCTTTTGTACAATAGTTTAAAATCATCACAACTGTACAAGACCTTAAGAAAGTCATCGATGAAAACCAGCTTACACCAGAATTCAATGGGACATTTCACTACGATCATGACGAGTGGATACGATTCAGAATAGTAAGTGAATTCGTTATATAATTTGTTTGATATAGCAAATATAGCAAAAAGAAATTACAAAACAAAACAGAACAAAACAAACAAACAAACAAAAAAAACAAAAAACAAAAAAACAAAAAAAAAACAAAACACGTATATAGATGTATGACTCAAAATCAAAACTGTAACTTCATCAGACTAATCTCATCTATAGATTGAATTGCCTAAACCGAACGTCTTCACAATTCACATTACATATTAATATTCAATTTATAATCTTTCCAGTTGCAAGAGTAACTTATTTTAACCCTTTTGGGTTGTCTTTCTTGCGCCCTCCACTTCTTAATCTCATTTTTGTAAAGTTTTTGTAATTTTTTTTGTATTTTTTGTGTGGAAAATAAAAACCTTGGCTTTGAAGCATTTTTTTTTTACATTTTAACTTCTTTAAATTGACAAGGGTGTGAACAATGATTAAGCAATATAAATTATTTCTCATTTGTCTCTAGCTAAAAGAAACTCATAAAAAAATCGTCGTTAACAAATCTTAGAATAGAATAGCTGTCCATTTAGATATCAAAAGTATAAAAATGATACTGAAATGTTGATTTTTGCTCCTTTTTTTCGCAGAAGCTGGAGCCTTTCATGACAGGATGTCGCAGTGCTGCAAAGCTTGCCATGGAAGTAATGCAACAATTTACAAGCACCAAAGTAGGAGAAACTTTAAAAGACTGTAAATCACTACTAGAACAGCATCAACAAAAAGTCAAGGACGTGTTCTTAGATAGTAGACTTTCAGCCCTTCAAGTTGAAGGAGAACAAATCTTAATACGATTAGAAGAAGAGGAAACTAGTCTGGCCAAGACTGAAGATTACGAGGAAACAGTAGAGTGTGTGTCGAAACTGTATCATCAGATGAACGAAGTGTTTTGTAAACTTGAAATGTTAACTGAAAATAGGACTAAAAAACTAGAACAGTGCGTACAGCTCAGGGAATTCGAATGCGACGCCGATAAGGTAAGACATGTTTATTTATTTAGTTAGTTTATTGATAGGGAATCAAGTGTGATGTACTGGTACGAGTGCATTCGCCTCTTACGACGTCACTGTTCTCGAGTTCGAGTCCTGGGTTCTTCCCTCTGCGAAACCTAACACGCTGATTTCTACTCGTTAAAAAACGTGGACCAATGTGATGTCCAAATTTATAATAGATCATTCCTTGATATTTTTAGGGAAGCACTGCTAATATGCAGCATGGGTGGCGTTTGCGGCTAACGCGTCGTCCTACACCGCTGTGARTCCAACGGGTCGGGTCGCTGACTCGAGCCCTGTGGTTGCCACATGTGAATTGAGTTTGTTTGATGTGTTGTTCTCTCCTATGCTACAAGGGTTTTCTCCGGGTTCTCTGGTTTCCTCCCTCCGTGTGTTAAGCGTATGTGCATAGAATATTGAACATAGTGGTAGTGCGTGTGAGCGAAAAGTGTCCCCACTAGACACTTAAATAAAGTGATTTATTTATTTAATACGCCGCCTCTCACCAATATATACGATGGTGCCGGTCTTTGTGTCGTATGTGAGTAGAGTGGTTTGTTGGCTCTCTCCTGTGCTTCCAGGGTTTTCCAGGTTCTCCGGTTTTCCTCCCTCCGCAAAAATCAACTTCTAGCTTTGCGCATTCACCTAGTTTGGAGCCTAGCTCAGTTGTGGTTGTCCCACGCTGTGATACAACAGCTAAAGCTTAATAGATTTTTAAGTGACAAAAAATAATCAGAAATAAAGTGAATTTTGTAAGGCTGTTAAAATTACCCTACGGTCTCTATGACGACAAGAAATTCAGTGTTATTTTCCTCCACACAGGTCGAAACATGGATCAGAACTGAAGCTGAGTCGTTCCTTCACAAACACACGGAACTAGGGGATTCTCTACATCATGTTCAATCCTTACAAGAAGAGTTTGACATTTTTGAAAAAAATGCAAAGGTAAAACACGAGCGGACACCACATGTTAATATAGGTTTCTATATACTAACCCCCCCAGCAATTTAGGCCTTTTGTTTTCCCATTTCAGACCGAGTGTCATTCCCTTGAATATGATATATTTATTTATAGCCGAAGAATTTAGTGAAAATCTTTTATTATGGATGCAACTCAAACATATAGAATATCATTGCTAAGAGGTGGCTACTTGTATGCGCGGTATCACAGTGTGAGTAGAGATTGTTAGGTTTCTCGTTTGATTCCCTTCTGCAAAGCCTAACAAGCTAAATTACAATTTTACCTGTGAGTTGTTTCGTTGTTTCAGGGATTGATCTGTAAGCTAGCCCTGCTCTGACTTTGATCAGCCCAGAGTTGTTTCAGGGTTC